ACTATATGAGCCATAAAGGCCTGATGTATCAAATATGACAGAACAAAAAAAAAATTGTTTAAAGGTTCGATAAACTGTTCCAGTTTTCAGGCTATTATTTCACATGACAGGCTTTACAGTGTTAATTGTGTCTTTTGTGATATTCATGCTTCAGTGTTTATGAAATATTCCCATCGTTCCCTCACAGTGGGCGGAGCTCCCAGACAGAACTGCGGTCAGCTGAACCTGTCGGGTTCGTCCTCGTCTCTGGCCAGCGAGGTCGGCGTCAGGACGGCCGGAGGACGCACGTATGGCATAGGTGGGGCTTTCCTTCAGAGACAGATCCCGAGGATGACCTGTGAGAGCGGCAGACAGGAAGAGAGCAGACAGGGACAGGAAGAGACACGCAAGCGCTTCAGGTCCCCCTTCAGACTCTTGAGAGACAGGAGCAAGTCCAGGGACAGAGCTGGGACAGTGAGACAGGATGAGCAGCAGGCAGACAGTCTGAAGACAGACAGACACAGGAGGAGGACAGCTGTGTGACTGATTATTATGTGCTGTTCATATTCCTCCGCATCAGTGTAGTTCAGCCAAAGATGAAGCTCCTGTCGTCATTTATTCAGATTCATCTGTGCATTTGAATAATGAAGTTGCATGTAGGGCTGGGCGATATAGCAAAAACATTTATCAACGACAGAGACGCCCGCAAACTCTCCAGCCGACTGCAGTCAGCCCGGCACGAGGTAGCGTATCCCACAACACCTCAGAGAGTCTCGAGCTAAAGCAGCTTGATCCGAATCGTTTCTGCTGGATTCATGCTGTAATATGAGTTTGAGCATTTTCGGGTTTTTTAAAAAAAAAGGCTTAAAATGGCTTACATTCACTTTAAAAGTGTGAAATATCAGGGTCTTAAAAAGTCTTAATTCACCCTTCCACAAATTAAGGCCTTAAATTGGTGAAGAAGGTCTTAAATTCATAAAGTCAAGGCATTAAATGTTGCATGCACTTTAAAAATTCATATCTTTCCCAGTATTCTTGTTTTGCTTTCCAATACAAATATCTTTTATATTATATTCAAGATTTAAAAAATCATTTATGAAGTCTTGTTTTCTAAAAAAATTGAACAAAATGATACCTGTCAGTGGGGAATGAAAACTTTCCCTTTAATTTAAATAGATTTTTTGAGCCTGTAGGCAGATATTTGTTGGTTTTAATCATAAACTCACTTCATTTTGATCAGTTTCTCATAAAACAAGACTTCTTATTTTGCTACGCAAGTAAATGTATCTTATTTAAGAGTCTTTAGACATTTGCACCAAAAGCGAGGAAGAACCAACAAAATATTAATAACTGATTATATTCTAGTATTCAATGTATGTTTTATTTCCTGTCAGCTTTGTGTTTCAGTGCATTTTCATTTCATTCCATGATAAGATGTAGTTTGCTTTTTTTTTGGCCAAATAATTTTGACAATTAAATATTTAACCAAGTTAGTTTTTTGAATTATGTTTTGATCTTGTAGGCAAAAATATTGAGAAATATCCTCTTCAGATATCACTTTTGGCCACTACTGTCTTTGGGGGAAGGTTTTTTTTTTTTTTTTTTTTTTTTGTAAAATGAATTAAAAAGTGATGGAGATCTTTTGGAAATTGCATTTTCAAACTTTGACGTGTTGCTAATAAAAGACATAGAGACCATATTGACATATTGTGTTCCATTCAATTTAAATTTTCTTTACTTGGTCTTAAAATTTTACTTTGGTCTTAAATTTACTGTTATAAAACCTTCATAAACAGATTATCATATCATCCAATATCCCTCAAATGCTAATTTTTATGTATTGATAATAGTGCTGTCAAACGATTTATTGTGATTAATCGCATCCAAAATAAAAGTTTTTGTTTACATAATATATGTATGTGTACTCTGTATATTTATTATGTATATATAAATACACACACATACAGTATATATTTTGAAAATATTTACGTGTATATACATTTATATTATTATATTTTATATTATATATAAATATGTTTAATATATAAACATATATTTTTCTTAAATATATACATGCATGTGTTTGTATATATATATACACACAGTACACACTCATATATTATGTAAACAAAAACTATTATTTTGGATGCGATTAATTGCGATTAATCGTTTGACAGCACTAATTGATAAATTAGTATGTAACCCAATTTGAATTCATATGTACAGTACATATTGAATAAAACATCTACAGAATATTTTAAACTTGCACCATGTTTTGCAGCTGAATGCGATGTATGTTTAGTCACTGTGCTTTTCTTTCATCCCAGTTCATCTTCAGCTCAACACCTTGTCGTGAGGGAGACCAGCTTCATGTTCTCCAGCAGCGCGGAGGAGCTGACGGTGCCCGAGCAAACCTCCGTCTCTGAGCTGGCCGACAGCGGCCGCGGGAGCTGGACCTCCTGCTCTAGTAACTCCCACGACAACCTCCAGACTCTTCCAGGCCAGCGAGCTCTGGACCTGCTCAACCATCGCCACACGCCCATGGGTGGCCCGATCGCCGAGGTGGAGATCGGCCCGGGTTTGCCAGAGGACAGCTGCTCCAGAGACGGATCTGAGCTCAGTCAGTCCAGACAGAGCTGGACGTCCTGCAGTTCCCTGTCGGACACCTACGAGGGCAGCTACGGCACCGTCAAACGCAAGACACAAGATCAGCAAAGCACAGACGCTTCGTACAAGACGATCACGTCCAGCACAGAGAAGGGACTCATAGGTGAGCTTCAGCTTCTGCGTGTGACACCAGCAGATTTCACTGTCCTCTCATTAGATGATAAATGTGCAGCTCTTCTGGCTCGCTTGTGTCTTGTTAGCTCTAGGACACTTATATCAGTAGAGAGATTCACCCGGGACGTCCTGCGCTTTCCACAAAAAGGGCACAAACTGGTGTCACATAACTATGTGATATATTTAATCAAAGTCAAATATGTTTGTATGGAGCTTTTCACAAGACACATGGTTAGTGCTTTAACAGAGCGAGTTTTAGTGCTGGCCGATATGACAATATATAACAAGGAGTAGTGGTGGACCGATACGGGTTTTTTGACAGCCGATGCCGATATCTTGGAAAGCAGGGTGGCTGATGGCCGATATAAAGCCGATATAATTTTATTTATTTTAATTAATGTTTAAGAAATTTGAAATCATTTTAAAATGGATTAAAAAGTAAATGTGTTAAATAAACATACTTACACTTTAGATGACAAAGTATTTTTCACAAATAAATAAATATATAATAAAAATATAATTAAAAACACTGTAACCGTACGCGATCATGCAGGTCACATGCACACTTCACAAGATCTCACAACTGGATTCGACTAAGTTTGCAAGGTTTGTGAAATTAAATGTTCATTAGTCATTCAAAGATTTGTTTAAATTATATAAATACGTATTTGCTGAATGCTAACGACAAACAAGAAAGTATTATAATGTTTGCCTTTCTATTACTAATAATATAAAAGCAATCGTTATAATACTTTTTGTATACATTTTAATTCCTTTGTATAACCGTTCTATCTGATTATTAGACAGACTTCTATCCGTATTAGACAGAACTGTTAACAACGACAGCGAACAAGATGGAGAATGTGAGCGGTGTGCGCTCAGGTGCTGCCGCCGTCAAAATAAAAGTCCCGCCTTGAACGCATCGGCCAAACTGGAAAACTTATCGGCCGATTCCGATATTTAAAAAATGGCAAATATCAGCCGATATATCGGCCTTGGCGATATATCGGTCGACCACTAACAATGAGATGACGAGTGATCCGCCGGGTTTATCTAGCTATATTGGATTTATAGTCAGGGATGCACATAAGTGTTGTGCTGCACTGGGTAAGTCATTTTAGATCGACTAACTGTAATACTGTATAGGATTTCCATTTGAACTGAAAGCATAAATCTAGGCTGCTGTATGGTTTCAGAGCAAAACTGTGACATTTCATTCACTGGCGAGCTTCACTCGGCAGCGCTTATACTTACTTGCTGATTCTAGGTTTGAAAATGATGACTTCATTAAAAATAAATAAGTAAAGAAATATTTATATTATTGAATATCATTATCAGTAGCTATAAACTAGTTACTAGTCCCCACTGAGGAGCAACCCTGTGACACATTTGAGTGTCATTTTTACGTTCTATTTATTTCATTTTCTTCCATCAGAAATAAATAGAACATATTTTACTGCATAAGAACACATGTGAGGAGCTCAGGCCGTGTTTTGTGCCCTGTTTGTGTCAAGCGGTCAAGGGTTAAAGGGATAGTTCACCCAAAAATGAAAATTTGATATCCAAAAATGAATATCTGCTTACCCACAGGGCATCCAAGATGTAGGTGACTTTGTTTCTTCAGTAGAACACAAACAAAGATTTTTAGCTCAAACCGTTGCAGTCTGTCAGTCATATAATGGAAGTGAATAGGAATCACGGCTTTGAGAGTCAAAAAAACACACAAACAAAACCAAATTAAACCCTGCGGCTCGTGACGATACATTGATGTGTAAAGACATGAAACGATCGGTCTGTGCAAGAAACTGAACAGTATTTATATCGTTTTTTACCTCTGATCCACTGCAATGTCCAGCTGTCCTGAGCGCGTTCACAACAGCCGGCACGTGATGCGTCTTCTTCTTCTTCTTGCTTTACGGCGGATCGCAGACTTATAAGTGCATTACCGCCACCTATCACTCAAATGGACCATTGACACTCCTAATTGAGAGATAGGTGGCGGTAATGCACTTATAAGTCTGCAATCTACCGTAAAGCAAGAAGAAGAAGAAGACGTGTCTGAGAACGCGCTCAGGACAGTTCGGACATTGCGGTGAATCAGAGAATAGTTTTTGGGTGAACTATCCCTTTAATGTAAATCTGCTTGTGTTGTGTCTGGTGCAGTTGTGTCAGTGTCTTAGTGAATGTCTTTTTGATTTACGTACCCCGTTTCATTCATTGATGTTTGCTTTGTGTGTGTGTGTGTGTGTCTGTGTGTTTTGTTTCTTTCTGTGCTCCTTCCCTTTCATCATGTCACTCCTGCACCTCTCCTCCTGCTTCCTGCCAGTGTACTGTGTAACGTCACCCTGCAAAGACGATAGGCTCAAAGCGCCGCCCCCGACTCCGCCGGGGTACCAAGGCCTGACGCTGGGCGACGCGCAGGACGGAGGAGCCTTGCGGCCGGCCCACGTAAAGCCGCCCGAGTATAGCGTGGCCTTGCAGAGGTGCAAGCTGCGACACAGCCTGTCCAGACCGCCCAGTGTTACTCTCCATTCTCACGCTGATAGTGAGGAGGGTATGTGCTCAAACCCTGCAGAGCAGAGAAACACGTCCGGCTCGCATTTCACCCCTCAATCCCAAGACCTAAATGGTATTTATTTGACACCAAGAAAATATGATTTTTGGCTACTTCTACATTACACTAGCGTGCTGAATTTAGTTACATTCAAGCCATTTTAAGGATTTGAATTATTTTCACTGGAAAAGTTTAAAAATGTCAGTTTGATTAACAATGATGAGTTTTAAGGGATAGAATTAGTGACTGCACTGGGTTTATTTTTATGCACTTCATCTATTTGCATCTGTAGTTTTAAGTTACATATCTTTAAAAGATTTGATCCAGAAATCTCAAATTCAGCAGTATGTACATCAGACTTTACAGTTTTATTCATATCTATATTTTGAAGGGTTCTCCAGAAGGGTTTGTTCATATATCATTCACCTACTATGGTGATGTAGACGTGCTTTACAGTGTAAGGAGCCGTTCACACAAAATGCGTCTAAAAACACGAGACGCAGTGCTCAGGAATGGATTTTTAAAAAGCGCAGCGCAGAATGCCGCCTCCGCCATTTTGCCGTCAAATAAAACCACCTTGCTACTGTAAACAAAAGCTTGCAACGCTTGCCCCGCCTCCGGGCTCTTCTGATTGGTCCACTGTTTTGGAACTGACATTGATGAGCGGCGCTGCGACTAAAAGTTTAAATTCTTTTAACTTGACACGGCGTCTTAAAAACGCAGCGCTCGCATGCGACACACATGTCGGTCTAGCGCATGTACATAGAAAAACAATGGAAAAGTAGTGCATTGAAATGAAAAAAAAAAACCGCATTCTGTGTGAACGGCCCCTAAATGATATGCTTTTCTTCATTGAGTGCACAAAGTCATTACAATCCAACTTATCACATGAATGAACCTTTTTCTTTATTTACAGTGGGGTGAAATGTGGCCTGGTCGTGTTTTAGTGCCATCGGGTGTAAGTAGCGTTGCTGTGGGTCAGTGTTGATGAAGCGCTCAATGCAGACCAGCAGTGATGGTTTGAACTCAACCTCGTGTGCTTATCCTCCTGTGTGTCTTTCAGATGAGCAAGTTTCTGCCGTGTGACTGGACGTCAGCGCTTCACGGACACTCCTGCGTTAAACTCCAGGTTCGTGCCAGAGATGGTACTCTACAGGTTTGCAGCATCTTTGAGGTCATTTAACGACAAAACAAGCCTATTCTTGATCATCGACCAACTCGAGACGGACGTTTTTTCAGTGACCGGTGAAGAAAGATCTCGCAGAAATGAAGCCTCCGCCGTCTCTCCAAATGCTTCCTTAAGCTGACGTATTATTTTTCACCCACCTGTCACGCACTTTTCACCATCCACTCAGTTCCTCTCGGAGAAAACCGATTTGATTGAGCGTCACACCGTGTGCATGCAGCACCTCTTGTACCCAACACAGATCAAACATGCTTCAGAGACAAACCTTTATGGTACTTTAATGATGCACACTCTTCTGGTTTGCTCGTGAAGTCGAACAAGCTTTGTGAGATCAGGACGGATCATGATTTCAGCATCTGACGTGTTTACACACATTCTCGGTTTACAGTGTTTCTTCTCGCTGAAATACGCATCGTGCTGCGTCTGCCTGTTTTTTTTACGCAATAAGGATGGTGCGGATGCGTCGTCTGATTTGTACAGTCTCAGCTATTGGATTTGCTACTCCTGTCGTTGTACATAGTGAACGAGATCGATATGCTTGTCAAGGGAAAATATATTTATATGCTAGATGTGCATTTTCATTCCTTGTTAGCTCATGCTCTTTGGACGAGAAATTTTGTATAGAATGCAAAAACGGTTTAATAGCTGTTGCTCTCTGTAAGCAAATAAATACATTTGTACATGAACTAAACCTTAGATGTATAGGGTTGAAATGAAACAAATAAATGTATTATATTAAGGGACATAACTGGAGTATTACATTTTTATCATTACCTGTCTGGACCCAGATGCTTTTCTTCTTGTTATTTTTTAGTATGTGTTGTATTGTCAACAGCATTGATTGTATTAATGATATAAGCATAAGGGTTTTTTTACTGTATGTTTTGTTGTAAATTAATGTTACTGATCATGTACAGCTGAGAAGAGAGTGCGCTATATAAACTGTATTTTCACTATTTTGTTGAAATAAATCTGGGGTTGTGGCTGCTCCTGTTACTGGGCAGAAGTTATTCGTTTCCCTAAACTCTGCTAGTAATGATACGGGTTCAGTGTTACCGCCTTTCAAACTGCCTCATCTTTGTACTTTTTGTTCATAAATACCCTGAAACATGAGCATGAGTTTCATATTTTGTCAGAATTTGGTTTGTGTCTTTGCACTGGAGCTAAACCAGCATGATTCTCCAGACTGAAGATGATCCAACAGCAACACAGCAACAACTTTTGAGCATAAAAAGCGGTTTACTTTGAATCGTTTTATTACTAGAAGTCTTCTTTCTGGCCCTAGAAGAGGAGAATCATCAATTGTTTTGCTGGGGTTAGAGCATTTACATTGGAATAAATCATTTATAAATAAATAAAAGACAGAAACAAATAATAGATATTTGTGGATAAACTGCAAATGCATTTAACAATATTAAAATTCCATTATATTGCAGGCTCTTGATATTTGACATCAATTAAATTTTTTTAGAATTATCAAATTCTCCTTTGTAGTTGTAGCTGAAAAGCTGCTGTAATTCTTGAATCCAGAGATAAATGTTGTATTAGTAAGATCATGACTCCGATAAAAACCATGCTCCTCATTACCATGGTTTTATGGTTTCTAATACAACAACAAAACTAAAAATACTACTACTAATAATAAATATAACACAATGCAGAGCTGGAAGAACTCTCCCAATTAGAATATATAGGGTTCAGACGCTCAGGTGAGAATAAAAACAAACAAAAAATAAACAAACAAAATGCAGAATTGCAAAAAAGTGGTTGAAAGATAAGTATTGAAGCATGTTTACGCCACTGTAAAATAAAAAGGAAATTGTGACTTTTTATCTCACAATTCAAAGTTGCCAGACTACTCTGAGAGTCACTTCACCAGCTTTACACGGTTTCATTTCAGAAAAACTACCGTCACTAAAACCGAAAGATGACAACCCATCAAAATAAAAGTTCGGATTAACTTGAGGAAATTATGACAGAAATATATTACTATTCTATTCTAAAATGTAATGTAATCTAGTGATCTGGTAAGGAAACCATCTCAGTCCTAAATTCGCTATTACTTACTGATTAGTTCATCCTGTTTCCATGTTAACAGTAGCCTAGCTGAAGTGATACTGTAGTAGGTTACAACTCAATGATCCTGCATTACGGAAGCATGTTTACGCCACTGTAAAATAAAAAGGAAATTGTGACTTTTTATCTCACAATTCAAAGTTGCCAGACTACTCTGAGAGTCACTTCACCAGCTTTACACGGTTTCATTTCAGAAAAACTACCGTCACTAAAACCGAAAGATGACAACCCATCAAAATAAAAGTTCGGATTAACTTGAGGAAATTATGACAGAAATATATTACTATTCTATTCTAAAATGTAATGTAATCTAGTGACCTGGTAAGGAAACCATCTCAGTCCTAAATTCGCTATTACTTACTGATTAATTAATCCTGTTTCCATGTTAACAGTAGCCTAGCTGAAGTGATACTGTAGTAGGTTACAACTCAATGATCCTGCATTATTTCCTGCAATTACAGACCATTATTCTAAAGTGCTGCAGATAAAAGACATACTGTTTCAGGTATTGTTTAGTGAAAAATAAATAAAATATATAAAAATCAGAAATGCGGTGCACAAGCTCTTTTGCACTTATTCAGAGGACAGGCCTCAGACCACTTGGTGAAAAAGTCTGCCGTCACACAGATATACTGGAACCTGCCAACTAATTCCAGAGGTTCTGTGACCTCAAACATTCAGGACTAAGGTTAGCATTTCTTCAAAGCATGCAATATTTGCATTCTGTGTACATGTAACTATATGACATATATAGCTCCAGTTATGTTTGTGGGGGAAAAAATACCTTCCCATGTTCATCATGCATGCGTATTGAAAGGTTTGGCTTTGAATCCTGGACAACTCATCACATGCTATCCTAGAACTACTGATCAGTCTAATATTCACATCAATGCTTATAAATAACAAGACATAGCTTTTTAAATCTATGATCCGTGTAACAAATCTGTCACCGTCTAACATCTGCTGGAAAGTCAGGTAAAATGATCTGTGTGCATGCACATATCTCCAGTTAACACGATCCCCAGATGATCCATAACACCGGCATTAGGAGCTACAGCTTTAACATGTATATTGTAATGTGTCTGATTTTTCAGGGTTGTTATCCAGGGTAGTAACACACGTGTGCTTGAGGTCTTCAGCTATGTCTAACGTTCAGTGTCAGTAATTGTAGGAAGCTGCGTTCAATCAAATGATCTGAGCTCAGGAGGATGGTTCTTCAAACTCACCCATGCCAATGATACATCAATAATGAACATGAACATCCATCGCTGCTTCGTTCTCAAAGAACTGCAGGTCAGGTCCCAATGTAAAATCAAGCGATGACTTATTTAATGATTCTCTATCATTGATCTGTGATGAGCTTAGGACAAGAGACGTGTCGGCATCTGAATATTCAGCAGCACGTTCAAAGCCCTGCCAAGTTGACAGAGAATATTTAAGACCATTAAATGGATGTTTTTTCCATCTCGTCTGCTTCCTCCAGGCCTCCTGGATTATTAGTCCAAACTGCTCTTCACAATATGCATTATAGATCACAAGAGCAGCTCTCTGAGTCCAGACGGAAGAGAATTAAAGGGTCATAAAAGGGAAAGAAGCACTTGCCATTAATTGCTCTTCGTGTTCAAATTTTATACGTCTCTTTAAGATTTCTTTGCCTTCCAGCACAACGCCGATTCTTCACTTCTGCTCTTGGAGGGCCGCTGTCCTGCAGAGTTGAGCTCCAACCCTCATTAAACACACCTGGACCAGCTAATCGAGGTCTTCCAGACAGGTGAGGCCTGAGCTGTGTCTCACTGTCAACGCTGCGCCCTCATGTATGGTCTAAAACACAACTGCACTCATGTTTTCTCACAGGACGGCTGAGTACATTTTCTGCCATCTTTGCAGGAATGTTATATGAAGATTGTACCAATTCACATAACTTTAGAAACACTCTGAAAGTGAACAGGGAATCCATGCATTACATGTAAATAAGAAATAATAATGTGAATTTGTGCATTTTAATGCATTTGTAAGGCAATTGTAATATGTAATCATGTAATCAATAAAAAAGTAATTGTAGTCTGATTATGAGTAAAGTGTGTAAAGTGTGCTGCTACTATACTTCAACAGGGTTCTCATCGTGCTTCAACACATCAGGTGCATTGCGTTTAATTAAAGGGATGAGGAACACTGTCATAAACAAACAGACAAATATGTTTTCAGAAAGTAAATAAAAAGAATCGGTTCTAAAGAACAACTGAAGCTCAGCAGACAAATGATCGAATAGTTCCACGGAGAAACTAGGAGACAGTGTCCATTCATTCTCAAAGCTCCTGTGTTTCCTGACAGTGAGATTAAACCGGAGGAAAACAAATGTGGATAACTCAGAAATGTATATTTGTGCAAACAAAACGTTATAAAAACTTAAACAAACTGGCTTGTTTAAAATAACTATAATAACCATCCTAAATGAAAATAAAATATCTGCACATGGGAAATATGCAATATTTCACTATTAAGGTGTCTTACCACCATTTGCCGTTAATACAGCTTCAAACCTTCCTAGAATAAGTTCATACAACTTCTAAATAGTCTCCAGTTGAATGTTGCCTGTACAAACATCTGCCAGTTGTTTCAGAGATATTAGAGGAAGGATTCTACTTCTCACTCTTCTCTTCAAAGCTATCCACTCTGGTTTGATCTTAGTCGAGTCAGGTGATTTGATCTTGGTGCTCAAACTGTCCAGGTTTTATAATCCATCTTTTTAGCATTGGTGTCTGTGTTTTAGTGATTTCAGCTCTTTCATTGATCTTGGCTTTGTTAGGTTCTCTGTGGTCAGTTTTTGTGGAATCAGGGTCTTCACGGTGAATATTGAGGCTTGTGTCACTTTGTTGCAGTAGTTCTGTGTTGTTTGGCCCCAGTCCTTACTAGTGATTGACGATCACTATCATTCACTTTTCTTCTGTGCTGATGAAGTCTTGCCATGCTTTGTGTACTCAGTTATATTTCTAAAGATGTTGTTCTTAAAACACCAAATAATTGAGCCTTTAAGATTACAGATGCTCCTGCTAAACAAGCTCCTATGATTTGTCATTTTTTATATCACTACACTGATATAAAAACTACATTTATCTGCATTTTTGCATTTATTAACCCCTATAATAATGGGTGTTCACATTATGGAGTCCAATCCCTTTATATGTTTAGGGATCGGATTGTGTTAGATTATGTATAATATCATTAATGTGAATGAAAAACAACGGAGGTCTATGTGATGTGTGTGTGCGTGTGTGTGTGTGTGCGTGTGCGTGTGTGTATGTGTGTACACTGTTTACTCAACTATTTTCAAAGTCCATTTATTTATAAAGCTGGTAAAAATGACTGTATGCCAAAGTGCTGCACAAGGACAGTTAAGGCAATAAAATACAAGAAAAACAGAGAAACAAACATTGAATTTGAAATTTTGAAAGACAAAGACATCATTTTTGTAGGTGTTTATAAAGCGAGCCCTGTTTAAATCTTTAACTGTGAGAGAGACTTCTTCAGAAAGTTTGAATGATGAAATCTAGAAAAGAACAGATTGAAATCCACAGGTGTGACCTCTGTGTCAGTGTGATTGTGTTTAGGGTTAATGAAAGTGTGTTGTTCACCTGAGCAGTGAGACAGAGCTGAGAGGCAGGGCTGGGAAAGATGCTCTCACACACACTATTATGAGTCTAGACAATAATGGCAGCTGGCCAATAGAGGGCGCTAGGGCTCTGCCATCCTTTAACCACACACACACACACACAAAATAATAAGAATAATTAAAAATTACATAATATAATATGATAGAAAATCACCTGAGCAAAATATTTGCTTTCCTTATATCCGCTGTGCCTGTCCTTATGTTCAAGTTTTGGATAGCAGTTTTATAATTTTTTTAATTTTTATTCAAAAACAGTTGAAGATATACAAACACTTTCAGGAAAACATTATGAAGCATTAAAAAAAAAAATTAAGTATATAAAATTAACAAATGCATATGAAGAGGACAAATAAG